TCTAGGACTTTGAACATAAATGCATGTTGAATTTTGTCAAAGGCCTTCTCTGCATCTATTGACATGACCATGTGGTTCTTGTCTTTGAGCCCATTTATATGACTTATGACATTTATTGACTTACATATATTGAACCATCCCTGCATCTCTGAAATAAAGCCAACTTGATCATGGTGTATTATCTTTTTGATGTGTGTCTGTATGTGGTTTGCAAGTATCTTGTTGAGAATTGTTGTATCTATGTTCATTAAGGATATGGGTCTATAGTTTTCTTTTTCGGTTGTATCTTTACCTAGCATTGGTATTAGAGTGATTCTGGCTTCACAGAAGGAATTTGGAAGTTCTCCCTCCATTTCTGTTTCTTTGAATAAATTAAGTAGTATTCAATGTAGATCTTCTTTAAATGTCTGGTAGAATTCTGCTGTAAATCCATCTGGTCCTGGGCTTTTTATAGTCGGGAGGTTTCGTATTAATGTTTCAATTCCTTTTGTGTTATGGGTCTGTTTAAGCTGTTAATATCTTCTTGCCCTAGTTTTTGGGGTTCTCTTGCCTTTAGACACCCTACCATTTATTTTAGATTTTCAAATTTAGTAGCATATAGATTTTTAAAGTATTACCTTATCATGTTCTGGATCTTTCTGGTGTCTGTTGTGATGTTTCCCCTTTCATCTCAATTTTGTTGATTTAGAGGTGCTCTTTCTTTCTTTTGGTTAACTGGGCTAGTGGTCTGTCAATCCTGTTTATCTTTTTCAAAGAACCAGCTCTTGGATTTGTTGATTGTTTGTATTGTTTTCTTTGTTTCTATTTCATTAGTTTTTAGAGGCAAATGCTTTGAGCCTCACCCCCCATATGTGTGAGTGTGTGTGTGTGTGTGTGTGTGTGTGTGTGTTTTAATGAATCTCTCTGAGAAGAGTCAAAAACTTCTAGGAGGGAAATAATTCGAATTTCAATTATAAAGTCATTTAAAGTGTTTCACATGTGGAGATTGAACTTTACAAAGATTTTGAAAATCAACACTCCCATCAGATCTCAACTGAGCAGCTACAGGAGGCCCTCTATAGGTCTCCACATACCACTCCCCACAGAGAAATTTACTACTTACAAATTGCTAGGTGATTTAGGGAATGAAAAACTAAAACTGACTTATTATCATTCAAAATCTTCTCAAGGAACTTTCTGACATGTTCACTCTTTGCCCCAAAATAACTATTACAAAAATAGTGTTTGTTTTCATTTCATAAAGCAAGAAATGAAAGCTCAGGAGCTAGGATTTCAGTAAAGGTTTTTAGACTCTGAGAGCTACCCTCTGATACTGCTCTCATATGCAAGAGGATCAGATGCAGATATTTACTATGGACCATGCAAAACTAATACACTTTCTCTTTTGTTTTTCCATTAGCGTATCGACGCTCCATATTTAGGTGTCCTGGCTGCAGAGATGTCTATGTTGTGTTTCCATAATGATCCTTCAATCAAACATCAAGCATCCATAGGAATGACTTATGTCCTCTATATCGCAAAGTGGCAGAATTGTAAGAATGACTCGCCATCTTTTCTACATGTTACTAAGAACCTGTCCCTAATTATTTGACTTGAAAGGAAGCTTCAGAGTCTATGATTTCTAGATCCTGCCCCAGTATCTATAGTTTCACTTTTTAAATGCAGCTTTAAAAAATATTTTTAGCATTGACAAAACACTCATGTAATGGGATAACTGATACTTCAAGATCTTTATACTTTCAAGATCTATCTATTCTGCTTGGGTTGGTGTTGAGTGTTAATGGTGGGGGATAGGGATGACAAGTAGAGGCAGAAAGGGAGGAGAAAGAGAACATTGACCAATGAAACATTTAGAAGAGGTCTATTTTTCTCTTTAATGGGTTAACAACTAAAATACTTGGGAGATTCTATAATGCTTAGGTTTTAGGAACAAATCAGCCAAGACAAAAATAAATGTTGACATGGTTGACCTAAAAGAACTCAAATTCAAGATTTGAAAATACCAAACTGACTTCAAGAAACTTATCTACACATCAGAATCACTAAATATTTGTAAATTGGGCCAATGAGATGGCTCAGCAGGTAAAGACACTTACCGCCAAGCCTGACTACCTTCATTCAATCCCTGGAACCAACATGGTGGAGGGCAAGAACCAACTGTCCCAAGCTGCCTTTTGACCTCCTCATGTGCACCATGGCATGTGCAATACCCCTTCTATACACAATTTTAAAAGTACTTTTAAAATATTTGTGACTACAGTTGTATAGATATAAGTATTTTCTGTTCATTAGACAACAGCTGATCCTGACCATATCACCTAGAGTAAACTTCTGGACTTTGGTATAGGAAAGTGCACTAGAATAGCCTTGACTAGTTGAAAAGAATTGAAAACTCAAGATTAAGAAGAGCTAGAGTTCACGAGGACAAACAACAGAAAGGAATGCACAAAAGGAGAACTCCAGATATATATAAAGACCTTCAGAGAAGCCTGTTTAGGTACTCAGCAAGCCACTGATTAGAACACACATGTAAGGAAATGGGTTTGGGAGAGGAATACCAGAAGTTATTACAGAGAAAGATCCAGGGAGCTGACAAAGGCTCTAAATGGTGTCTTTACACCTATAAACCAGAATTTAAAATCTCACAATTCACAAGCAATGGTGAAGGATTTTTGTCTCATTTGGAAGAAAAACTATCCTTAGATTATAACATTTTGTCACTTAAGAAGACTTAAAAATACAAACTAAAAGGAAGAACCTAGCTCCAAACACTTTGTTTACCAAAAGAGAGATGAAGACTACTACTTCTAAGAATATAAAAAAGAATTCCAGTATTCAGGTCGGGCATGGTGGTGCCCACTTTTAAACTCAGCATTCTGGAGGCAGAGGCAAGTGGTTCTCTGTGAGATCAAGGCCAGCCTGGTCCACATAGCAAGTTCTAGGCCAGCTGGGGCTATAGGAGATCCTGTCTCAAAAGCAAAAGCAAAAAAAAAAAACAAACAAACAAACAAACAAAAAACCTTCCAGCATCCAACAACGTAAAACTAACAATTTCTGACACCCAATAAAAAATTACAATGCAGCCAGGTATGGTAGGATACATCTCAGGAAGCTAAGGGAAGAGGATTTTGAGTTCAAGACAAGCCTGGTTACACAGTGACATTCTGTCTCAAAGGGATAACAAACCAGGCATGGAAAGAAAGAGGAAAATTCAACTCACAGTGAGGATAAAAATTATCCAAAAATGTCATAGATAATATAATTAATAGAGAAGAATATGAAGAAAAATTATTACAACTATATTTCATTTATTTAAAAACTTAAATCAAAGCATCAGCATGTAAGGACAGACATAGAAAACTTCAAAAAGATCCATAATGTCCCAGCACTTGAGAGGCTGAGGCAGAAGGATCATGAGCCCAATGCCAGGAATGAGTTACCTACTTTGGAACAACTATTGGCCAATGAGGTCCTATAGACACCCAAACATTACAAGCTATTAGTAATGCTCTTGATGACCCTCCAGAACCTGATAGTAAAACCCTATCGCAAAAAAACAACATACACTTGAGTCATAGAACATGGAGAAATGATCTCACAGAACATGAAGCTTCATCTCTACTACATAACATCATAGTGCCAAAAAATGCTACAATTGCTACCAGAGAAAAAAAGTAATTATCAATCTGTATTAGTTACTATTCTGTTGCTGTGTTAAAGCACCATGACCAAGGGAATTTATCTGAGCTTACAGTTCCAGAAGAATCAGAGTCCATCATGGTGGGGAGGCAAGGTGGCAAGAGGTGGCCAGAGAAGAAAGAGGAACACTCACATCTTCAAGCAGGCACAGGAAGCAGAGAGAGACTGGAAATCCAGCAAGGCCTAAGAACTCTCAAAGCCCACCCCCAGTGACATGCTTCCTCCAGTATGGCCACACCTCCTAAGGCCTTCCAATACAATGCCACCAACTGGGGACAAAATGTCCAAATAATCAGAGCCTCTGGGGACATTCTCATTCAAACCAGCACCTAATCTTACCCACCTATGAACCCTATAAGCTACAATAATGACTGGCCTGGCAAGACATTCCCACTGAGACAATGGTGACATGAATGTCATGGAGTAACAACCACTTTTTTGATGGACTTAAGGCCTACTCTACAAGATGAAACTCATACCTGGCTCTGTTATTGGGGCAAAGAACCTGTGACTAGGCAGGTCATAGGCCCTAGGGAAGCATCTACTACTATGATTTTGCTAAATGGACATGATATTAAACAGATTCTTAGAGATTTATTGTTACACTCATCCATAAGGGCATCTCTCAGGCCTCATCAGAGAAGCTTCTTTTTGTGGGGAATAACTATTAACATAGAGACCCACAACTGGTCAAAATGCAGAGAATAAGAGATTGTGGAATTCTCAGCCCTAAACGGAACATCCATATCACACCCTGACTTCCAAGGCTCAGGGAACGTTGTAGAAGATGCAATAGAAATATTTCAATAACTGGAGGTGGTGTATGACTATATTGAAATTGTGTTTTCTGGCCACAAGAGGGCAGTTGCACATACTAACTCACAGTGATTGTGACAGCATGCACAAGACCAGCTCAAACTCATGCTAGACAATATCCCAGCATTGACAGGGGAGGCAGGCAAGATGTCCACCCCTAGCTGAGGAGCTATTGGTATTTGATAGCTGTTGGGAGAGGGCAAGTCCATTTACTTCAAGGGTACGGCCCCTGATTGATCAATCATGCTTCAGTAGATGACCAAACACCCAAGAGTATGTGGACAGCACAAATTGAACTTGATGAGTTAATATTAAAAAAATAAAAGAGAGAGAACACAAAGTTGAGTAGGTAGGGAAA